TGGAGGGCCGGCGCGGGCGGGGCCGGAGCCCCCTCAGCTCATGGCATCCCGCAGCACACGGTCAGGCTGCTGCCAGAAGTAACGCTAGATAAGGAGCGAAGCCCCTGTTTGAAGGGGCCCTGGAACACACAAATAAATACACACAAATTAAAATATGCCCCATATTGTCCCATATTTCCTGGGTTTTTGTCTTCCCGCCCAATTCCCATATTTTCCCTTATTTTCCAATATTTTCTAAGGAATCGACGATTAATTGTGTCTGTGTGTTTTTTCCCCTCCTGACTGTTGGGCACCAGAAGCGCCTGCGTGGACGAGGAGCGCTGGAGGAACAGCCATGGAAGAACCTTGAGGAACCTCGAGCCCGTCCCGCCCCGAGCCCAAGATGTTCCTTCTCTCGGCGCCTTCACTGCATGGCATCCACTGCACGTGGGGGAGGAGGAGCTGCGGGAGGCGGGGAGAGAGGGCTACGAGATCTATACATATCCACTGCTCCTGGCCAGGCCCATCCTGGGCCCGGGAGCGGTGCATACGCCCTCGTGGCCTAGCCAGGGGGACATATACACCGCTCCTGGACCCAGGATGGGCTTGGCCAGGAGCAGTGGATATGTATAGATCTCGTCGCCCTAAGAGAGAGAGAGAGAGAGAGAGAGAGAGCAGAGGAGCGGGGAACGGGGCGGGCATGGGCGGGCGCCGGGCGCCGGCGCGCGCCGCGAGAGCCCCGGCGTGGCGGACGAGCATGAAGGGGCCCCAGGACACACAAATAAATACACACAAATAAAAACATTCCCCATATGTTCGTATATTTTCTGGGTTTTTGTCTTCCCCCCCACTTCCCATATTTTCTGATATTTTCCTGGGGATCGACGATTAATTGTGTCTGTGTGTTTTTTTCCCTCCTGAGAGCAGCAGCCCAGCCCCCTCGACGAGCACCGCGCGAACTTCGCTTTTGGCGTGTCGCCGGGGCGGCAGTCCTCGTGGTCCAGAGGGTGGTCCGGCTGACAGGGGGTGGTGCAACAGATTTGGGGCCATGGTATTGCAAGTGGATTGCGCCAGGAGGCTGAAGTGTTTTGTATTGTACACGTCGGTCGGAGGAAGTTGGTAAAAACATGCAGTAGGAAGGCGGATTAGGTTGATTGGGTGCAGGCCCCCCAGAGAAAAGCAAAACACAGCAAAAGCGTGTCGATTCTTGAAGTAGGAAGGCGCTTGAAGCAGATTGGGATCTGAGATTCCAAAAATGCCTACTTTCAACGACCGGCGTGTACTGTCTTGTCTTGCATTGCATTGCATTGTATTGTATATCACTGTTTGTATTGCTTTGTATTGCATTGTATTGAGTTGCATTGTATTGTGTTGTATTGGATTACATTGCATTGCATTGCATTGCATCTAATGTATTGCGCGCGAAAATCCAGCAATACATATGCGCACTGGAATGTATTGCGCACCCCCAGTATAGGGCAACCCCACGAATCTATTGCACCTGATCTGTTGCACCACCACCTTTTCGCTGGACCCCCTTTCGGGTCAACCCGAAGTAAGGAGGCACCGCGTGCAACTGCGGGAGTCCTCTGGCAGAAGCAGGTCGGCCTTGGTCAGGACCTGTATGTACTCAAAGGGCTCAATGCCCTTCCGCCTGTCGGCCGCACCAAGCAGCAGGGCAGCGGCAGGATGTGCGGGCGATGCGGCAGACGGGGTCCCGCAAAAGATCGCAAGCAGTGAATCGTTCGCTTCGAGTTCCCGTGCGCAACGCCGCTGCGTCGATGCGTGCATCCGCCAGTGTGACCCCTGGCAAGGCAGGAAGCGGCGCTGCCTGGCAGGGTCTGTCCAGCTGTCTACGCTGGGGCCCCTTCCTTCTTTATTGAAGGGGCCCTGGGACACACAAATAAGTACACACAAATAAAAAGATTCCCCATATTTCCACATATTTTCTACGGTTTTGTCCTCCCCCCCACTTCCCATATTCTCCCATCATTTCCTGGGGATCGACGATTAATTATGTCTGTGTGTTCTTTTCCCTCCTGATTTACGGCGCCCACCTGCGTGCACCACCACCACCACCACCACCACCGTATGCCTCCTGAGACGCCCTCGGCGGCGGGAAGCCTCTGTGGCAGCGGCCGTGGCCCGCAAGATGGTCAAACGGGAGTCCAAGACGGCACAACAAGCATACAGTCGGGGCGTTGACCTAAGGAACCCTAAATAGGGAACGGGGCCCCTTTCTCCCATAAGTTAAACTTCGATTTCCCATGGAAAACCTCAGGAAAACAGAAGGCAAACAGTCGAACAATCAAGGAACACCGAGTCCCTCCCCAACGAAAAGGGTTCCGTCTTCAGGGCCCTGGCTGTAGAATTCAGCACCGCTTGGGCCATATCATGCGCATCCGATGACAAACGCCTCATCCTGGTCAGCCAAGCATTCCCCCCTTTCTCGCTATTCCAGCAGCCGGCGCCGCGCCACCCTGGCCCATCACCTCTGCGGCCTGGGGGGGGAGAACATCGAGTAAACCTAGCTTCGCAGCGTTAGGGGAACTTATCCCACCAGCCCCTTGCGGCGTCGGTGGTTTAAGAAGTGAGTTATTCTACCCTCCTCTTCCCCTTGGGGGGGAGGTTCACCTCTCCCCCTACACCCTCTCCCTGGGTCTGGACGGGCCCGATCGCGGGTCGTTGGAGGAACCGAGATGGCCCCAAGAGGGCCCCCGATAGCCCGAGGTGACCTCCCAAATCTCACAAAAACCCTCAAAAACATGAACACGGATTGGATTCTGGCTGCTTCGCTTCCGGTGGGCTCTGGAGGCATCGAGATGGCTCCACGAGACGGCCCGATGCAGCCCCCAGAGGGGGGGCCCAAGAGGGGCCCAAGGCGGCCGCTAGAGCGCCCAAGAGCGCCGCAGGAGCGCTCCAAGGGGACCCCAAGAGGCAATGGTTCAGCCTCCGACGGGGGCGCCGTAACTGGTGATCCCCCATTCTTTGGTCGCAGGCCCCCAAGATGATCCCAAGAAGCCCCTCAACCCCACAAGAAGGCCCTCTGGGGCCCCTCTTGGGCCGCCTTGGGCTTCTCTTGATCCGTCTTGGAGCTCTTTTGAACCGCCTTGGGCCGCTCATAGAGGCCTCGGAGGCCGTCCTCGTCCTGGGGCGATCTTGAGAGTCGCTGGGGATGCCGTGGACGCTGTGAAAGCGGAAAAAGCTAATATCTTCAAAAGCGCACGTTCCTCAGGGAATGGGACGATTTTGGGCTCTTGGATGTCCCTTTTGGGGCCTCTTGGACCGTCTTGGGGGCCTCGTGGGCCGTCTTGAAACCATAGTGGGTCCTCTTTGAGCGCTGATGGGCCGTCCTGGGGCCCGTGTTGGGCCCGTGTGCTCCGATCGACAGGGGCGTCCAACTGCCCAGAAGGCCGCTGGGACTCCGAAAGGGCGTCCAGGGCGTTCGTTGGGTGGAGGGCAGGGGCGTCTGGGGTGTCCTGGGGGTGGTGGTCCGGTTTAAGGGGGGGTCCGGGTAATAAGAAGATAAGAATCGGAAAATCTATATACATATGTGTAAGAGAGAGAGAGAGAGAGAGAAAACAAAAAAAAGTAGAGACACACCCACACCCACACACACACACACACACACACAAACATACACGCATGCACGCAAAGGCACACACACACACCGTCTGTACTGTTCTGTCTACAGCAAGACTGGCACATCCGTCAATCTCATTATCTGCCTGCATCTCAACGGTTGTCTCGTCATCTCTGGCTTTCTGCCTCCTATTCCTCCCTGGAGTCATCGAAGAAGGTCTGCTAGCAGAGAACAGCGGAGGAGAGACCAACGGTGACATGCCAGTGAGGACATAACAACTGGAACGAAGAGGCTGCACTCGATAAGCATGTGTTTATCCATTGGCGCCCATCCAGCCTCCTCGTAGCCAAAGCCCGCTTGAATATTTCCACGAGGTCCCTGCCAGCGTGGGCTCTCCCTCAGCACTCATCCTAATCCTATTCTGAGCCTGTCTTCCCCATACATCTCATTCGACTCCTGCTTGCCCTGGTTGCCCAACGTTCTAACCATAAGCCGTCTTGCTCTGCGTCTACAACCGCCGTCCCTCTCATTAACTCAATGTGTTGCATCGCCTCCACGAATACACCAACCACCGCAGTCTCAACTTGTCGTACTCTCTCGTGCATCCTCCGCCACCGAGCCAGCTTCTCCTCGCGTCCCGCCCCTCCTCCACGATCACTCAGAAACGAATCATAATCAAAGCGGATCGTAATGTGCGTAGGATCGGGCCGCATCGGCACAGAGCCGAAATCGAATCGGATCGGCCGCGCCAGGATACACGACAGCGCCACGCAGCCATGCGAGCATCCCCGCGGGGGGGGGGGGGCCGGATAGAAGGAGAACTTGGCACATGCACCGATCCCGATCAGGCCCATGCTGATCCCAGGATGGGCCTGGACAGAATCGATGCATGTCCACAGCTCTCTTCGAGGACAGGGGGGCGCCGGCTGCCCGCGATGTTCCACGAGGACCCCTGTGCTTCCAGCGTCGGGGCCCGTTCAAGAAAAGAAAGACGCGGCGCGCCCCGGACGGCCGCGGCTGCAGAAGGCGGCGTGCGAGGCGATGCTGGCCATGGCCACTCACATGCAGGCGAGGATAAAAGCGGACTCTGTCGGGCCGGGCGAAAGGGGGGGATATAGCGAAGGGGGGGGGTGAGAATCAGCTCACGTAGCTGATTTCCCGGCGCCTCCCGGCGCCGGAGGCGGCAATGTATCGAGGAATGGGCCCCTCGGTGAGGCCGAAACCAGCTGCATGCAGCAAATCTCGTAACCCCCCCTTTCCCAATCCCCCCCTTCCGTCCGGCCCGACTCTGTCTCTAGGCCATCATTCTGCGCCATCTGGGCGCCCGCGGCCTTGGCTGAGTCGATTGCCCGCCGCCATGGCCGACGAACACCGTCGGCCACGTATTTGTTTCAGAGAGGTCGCTCACAGTGTGCGACCTGCATCGTGGGCCTAACTGTCGGCCCCTCGCTCAGGCCCTCACGGGATCGCTGCCAACAACAGAAGACAAGTCGTGCCCCCCTGCAGGAGGAGGAGGAGCAGGAGGAGGAGGAGGAGGAGGAGGAGGCGGAGGAGGAGGAGGAGGGGGAGGGGGAGGGGGAGGGGGAGGGGAAACCTCTCTTCCGGCAACGGAGACGCCTCAAGAAGCCCTCGTCGGGCCGCAAGGCCGAAGGCCGAGACCTGGCGGGGCCAGGACCGAATGCTGCCGCTGCCCGCGGGGTCCTGAGACCCTGGCGCCGCAGCTGCTTCGCGCCGGCCATGCTCGCCCACTTGCGGGCCTAAGGTCGGGGATCTTCTGACCCGGGTCAATCCAGACCCGGGTCAGTCAGGCCTTGCAGGATCCTACAAGGTCCTGCACCCAAACTGGGGTCAGTGCGCAGGATCCTGCAGGATACTGGAGGATCCTGCACCCAAACCGGGGTCAGTGCGGCCCTGGCCCTGCAGAACCCTGCAGGATCAGGCACTCTGGCTGACCCCCGTTTGCATTGACCCCCGTCTCAGGGCTCCCGATAAGGGCTCTCACGGACCGATCCGGCTCGAGAAAGGCCGCAGAAGCTTGGGGCCAAGGGCTCAGGGGGTCCCGCCGTGATTTCTTTCACGCCGCTGCAGTTGTGCTCGCTGCGTCGGAGCTCAAGGTACAGTCAAAAACCCTAATGAGGACGCGCGGCAAGGACGCAAGACCCTTCGAAGCCGAAGTTGGGATTTTTGGGGCGGCGGACGACGAAAACCCCAGGGACGCAAGAGCAAGGAAGAGCAAGGACGCAAGGGTACCCTGAGCAAAGTCGCGCGTCCTTCTTGAGGTTTCTGACTGTATAGAGGGCATGGGGCCCCGGTGGAAGCAAGTCCCGCCCCGCCCCGCCGGCCTGTCGGCGTCCTCGAGGCCGCCGAAGTACTCCGAGCTGACCAGGTGGAGGACTCGGGTGGGCACCCCAGGAAGTGGGTAGGAAAAAGAGGGGCACAATGCCCAAGAGAACACGTCTTTCTTCGCGGCGATTGGCAGGCGTTTTGGAGGGAGGAGAAGGGGGCGGGGAAAGGGCATAGCGTAACGCCCCCGCCCCCCACCGTGACAGATTGTGGTGCCAGACGCACGGGGCAGTGCAGGGGGGGGGACGCATTGGGTGGGGAGGGGGGGAGGGGGGGGTTATAACGCGCGTTATGGCCCAGATGGTACCCAAAAAAAACTCAAACAGCGAATGCTGTCCAAAACCAACAGCGGCTGCCGTTGGACAGGCTACATTGTGTATCAGATGGACAGCGTCCGCGGCGACGAGGGCAGCGAATCCTGTCCGAAATGGGCAGGAACTGCTGTCGGACTTTGTTTCCACTCTTTCCTTAAATTATGGAGTAACTCCTGCGAGGTCTTCGGAAGAACGGATCAGGGCGATTAAGCCCAATGAAGACGCCATGAAGCTGGATTAGGCCGGATTGAGCTCAGGAAATACGAGTGATTAAGCCGAAGCAGGCGGGATTACCCCAGATCAGGACGGTTCTTGACCACGGATGTACCAGCCTCGACGATGCCGAATCTACCTCCCAGGAGTTGCATCCTAACCCAAGCATGTCATGCATTGATCCACCACCGTGCCGCTGGTAGGGGGCCACATGCGAACCCTACTCCTACCCCCCACGATTTCTGAGGGGGAGGGTGGGGTTCACTTCGTGGGGGGTAGGGGTAGGGTTCGCATGTGGCCCCCTAGCTGGGCACGGAGTTGGCAAGTCCTCACTGGGTAGTCGAAGCCAATCTGGCGCCAATCTGGCAGGCCCAAGCTGGCAAACGGGGGCAACCTGGCGAGGGAGCCAACGCGAATCCGGTCTGGCGAGTAACCCAAATCGTCCAGCTTGGCCGGGCCAGATTGGCCCTTGGGGCCCAATCCAATCTGACAGTCTGGCCTTCGACTACCCAGTAAAACATGAGATGCACATATGGGGAGCTCTCTCTCCTGGCAAGCGCCTGCAACCCCTCATGCTTATTTTTCCCGGGCGCGGGCAGCCCTGCTGCCTCTCGGGTCCTGCCCCGGCTTCTCCTCCTCCCCTCGCCTCCTCCTCCTCCTCCTCCTCCTCCTCCTCCTCCTCCTCCTCCTCTCGCCTCCTCCTCCTCCTCCTCCTCCTCCTCCTCCTCCTCCTCCTCCTCCTCCTCCTCCTCCTCCTCCTCCTCCTCCCCCCCTCGCCTCCTCCTCCTCCTCCGAGGCAGGCGAATCGTCTCCTGTGGTGAGGCACCGCCTCTCGGAGAGGTAGCCGTCCAGCAGCGGCCCCCACGACTGGAGCTTCCTCCGCGGGGAATCCCAGGGACGACCAACGGCCAGGACGTCCCGGCGCCGCCGCATACTCCTCCTCCTCCTCCTCCTCCTCCTCTTCCTCCTCCTCCTCCGCCTTTTCCACGATTACGCTCTATGAATACTACTCTCTTCTCTCCCCTGGCGGCGTCCAGGGAATGTCCAGCCCCCCTCCGCGTGCTGCTTTTTTACACGCAGGATTCCCGGGAGGTGGGTGTTCGCTTGGTTGTTTCAAAATGATTGCTCTCGCTGAAGCGCTGGCCTCATTTTCGGGCTACCGCTCGTTCCGAATCGTGCTTCCGCTGCAGCGCTGGCTTCGTTTCCGCGTTTCCGCTCGTTCCGAATCGTGCTCCCGCTGCAGCGCTGGCGTCATCATTTCGAGCGCCATGCCACGGCATGGTTTTCGGTCCTTCCAAACAGGCCCCAAAATCTAGAAAATGGCCTCACGGATAAACCATCGGAAGTGATTACACATTCCGTGTCGATAAGTTGATTTTTTGGCCCGCGGAAGCCACCCGACCCACCACATTGGGGCGTCGCCACGCCATGCTATGTCAGGCTACGCGTTGATCTTCGACACCATGCTATGCCATTTAATGTTATGCCATGCTACGACATCCGATTGTGCGAATAGAGAGGAGATCTACGCCATGGTAAGAAATGGGAGAAAGGGATAGGACGTCAGATATGACGCAAGCGCATCTAGCTTGTCCTCCTCCTCCTCCTCATCCTCATCCTCATCCTCCTCCTCATCATCATCACCATCACCATCACCATCATCATCGTCATCAGCATCATAATCATCATCAGCATAAACATCATCATCACCATCAGCATCAGCATCAGCATCAGCAGAGTGATCAGAATCATCAGCATGATCATGTTAATCATCGAAATCATCGAAATCATCAGCATCATCAGCATCATCAGTATGAGCAGTATCAGCATCACCATCATCATCATCAGCAGCAGCATCATCATCATCATCATCATCATCATCATCATCATCATCATCATCGTCAGCAGCATCATCATCATCATCAGCATCATCATCATCATCAGCATCAGCAGCATCATCATCATCATCATCATAACCAGCATCATCATCATCAGCATCATCCTCATCATCAACATCATCATCAGCATCATCATCAGCATCATCATCATCACCATCACCATCACAACCATCATCATCAGCAGCAGCATCATCAGCATCAGCAGCATCATCAGCATCACAATCATCATCATTAACAACATCATCAGCATCATCAGCATCAGCATTATCATCATCACCATCATCACCAGCATCATCATCATCAGCAGCAGCATCATCGACATCATCAGCATCATCAGCATCGTCATCTGCATCATCAGCATCATCACCATCAGCAGCATCACCAACACCACCATCATCATCATCATCATCATCATCAGCAGCAGCATCATCAGCATCACAATCATCATCAGCAGCATCATCAGCATCATTATAATCATCAGCAGCAGCAACAGCATCATCATCACCACCATGAGCATCATCATCACCAGCACCAGCATCATCATCATCATCATCACCACCATCACCACCATCATAATCAGCATCGAGAGCATAATCAACATCAGCATCATCAGCACCATCATCAGCATCAGCAGCATCATCATCATCACCATCATCATCGCTATAATCAGCATCATAATCATCATCAGCATCAGCATCATCAGCATCAGCAGCATCATCATCATCCTCAGCCTCATAACCTTCATCATCAGCAGCAGCATCATCGTCCTCAGCAATTTTGGCTCAAGCCGCGTGTCCTGCTTTCTCCATTATCATTTCACCCACGGCCGCGGCGTCCTGCTCGGGGTATGGAGGCTGCTGAGCGGTGGGAGAACTGGAGGCTTGATGATGGCGCGATAGAGCACGCCGTGCAGGCATCCCTGAAGACAGCTGCGGAGGGGAACCAAGCTGCTCGTCATTCAGCTGACTGAGCCATCCAGAGGCTTCAGCTGGAGAAGGAGCACATTGACCAGGAGCAGTGCTCAAGGAGGCGGTGGCCTTGCTCGTCGGCGACGCCGAGGTTGGGGATCGGGTGGTCGCGATCATTCCCGCGCTGGTGGCGAGGCTGGCGGGCCACCTTCCCAAGCAAACGGACCAGCCACTGCACAAAGTTGCCATGCACGCCGCAATTCCTGCAGGCGTTGAGGCTATGCGGGCTTCGTCGCAGCAGCTCAGGCATTGGCAGCGCAGTGCACGTCTCGAGGCTCGACCCCTTGCGCTCGCGCAGCGAGCGCCGCTGGTGGCGCGCCTCGGGGCTCTCTGCACGTGTGGCGCCACGCCCTTCCCATCCTGTCGCGGGCGCTGATGGCTGCAGGCGGAGGGTGAGGCCTCGGAGCCGAGGGAGGTCGAGGATCCGGGCGCCGCCGCGCCCGTGACCGACGCCGAGGACGACAAGTTTGCTGGGGCCAAGTTTGTCTTGCGGCTATACGCCGCGATGGAGGCGCAGTCCGACGCCGTGCCCGACATCTGTGCTGCGGCTACGTCATCGATGGCGCCGAGCAGCTTCAGGGCCGAGGCGCCCATCTTCGTCCCGCTCGAAGAGCTCCGTAGACTCTTAGTGGAGTTCCCTGGAGAGGACCCTCGGTCAGCGGGGCGAGTACAACCGTTCGTGCGGCGATGTGCACGCCTGGATCGAGCGCCAGACGGCCAGTTGCCAGCTGACGGGGTGACCCCCCTACCCACCCACCCCCACCGCAGCTGAGGGCTTTGAGGATGGCATGCAGGGCTCGGAGGCGGCTGATGCTGATCCAGCCGCTCGTAGTAGTGATCCTCGCGTTCGTGGCTTGAGCGGTACCGGGCCGCTCACGAAGCGCCGTGTAGTAAGCAGCAGTAGAAGCTGCTGCTGTGGGCTTCGTCGTTCGCAGGTGGCGAAAGTGGCGAGTCCTCGTGTGGCTCGTGGCGCCACCCTGCGTCGAAGTGCGGCCTAGCGGGCAGGTGGCGGGAATGGCGAGTCCTCGTGTGGCTCGTGGCGCCACCCTGCCGCGAGGGCCCTTGTGTCTGCTCAGTGTTGGTGTGTGTGAAAGCCCTTGGCGCGCATACTCTGTGCAAGGCCTGTTTGTGGATGTAGAAATGCAGTTGCTGGCGACCGATGCGGCTCGGGACCCACTGGTCCGCCGAGCGCGGCGCCTATCATGCTCGTGGCGCCAAGTGGGCCCGAGGATCACCAATGCCTGCGACGAGCCTGCCGCTGCCGTGCTCGAGCGTGACGCCTTCTTCACGCGGCGGCGATCGGCCGCCGCCAGTGTGGCAGCAGCGTCGGTCTGGACGCCTGGCAGGTCCTCGCAGGTGCCGAGTGGGCACGCCCTGACGCTGCGGGCGAGGCGCGAAGGTAAGCGTGCAGGTTCGGGCGGCGTTCGAGATAGAGCTCCAAACCGTCTTGGATGCAGTGGATAACCATCATCATCATCATCATCATCATCAACATCATCATCATCATCATCATCATCATCATCACCATCATCATCATCATCATCATCACCGTCATTATCAACAACATCAACACCATCAGCATCAGCATCATCATCACCATCACCACCACCACCACCATCATCATCATCATCATCATCATCACCCGCAGCAGCATCATCATCACCATCAGCATCATCGTCAGCATCATCATCATTATCCGCAGAAGCATAGTCGTCGTCAGCATCATCACCACACCCTCCAAACATCCACCAACATCGTTGTCATCGTCGTCGTCGCCGTGGTCGTCATAAGCATCAGCAACAGCAGCAGAGTCAGCGTCCGTCAACATCATTATCATCATCAGCACCATCATAATTATCATCAACATCATCAGCATCATCATGTGATCGTCATCATCATCATCATCAGAGGCAGCGTCATCACCATCAACGACAACAACATCAGCAGCATCGGCAGCAGTGTCATCATCAGCAGCATCAGTATCATCATGATCCTCGTCATCAGCATCAGCAGCAGCAGCATCACTATCATCATCATCAGCATACTCAGCATCGTCATCAACATCATCATCATCATCAGCATAATCGTCATCATCATCGCCAGCAGAAGCATCATCCTCATCAGCATCATCATCAGCATTATCAGCAGCAGCATCGTCGTCGTCATCATCACCACCACCACCAAACCACCATCACCATCGTCGTCATCGTCGTCGTCACCGTCGTCATAAGCATCAGCAACAGCAGCAGGGTCAACATCAGCGTCAGCATCATCATCATCATCATCATCATCATCATCATCATCATCATCATCATCACCATCACCATCACCATCACAATCACCACCATCATCATCAGCATCAGCAGCAGCAACCATCATCATCAGCAGCAGCATCATCATCATCATCATCATCGACGTCACCACAATCATCAGCGTCATCATCATCGTCGTCATCATCAACAACAACATCAACAGCATCAGCAGCAGCAGCAGAGACAGCATCATCATCATCATCATCATCATCATCATCATCATCATCATCAGCATCAACATCATTATCAGCAGCATTGCCATCATCATCATCATCATCATCATCATCATCATCAGCATCGCCATCATCATCATCGTCATTGTCATCGTCATCAGCATCATCATCAGTATCGTCATCATCAGCATCATCAACATCATCAGCAGCAGCATCGTCGTCGTCGTTATCATCACCACCACCACCAAACCACCACCACCATCGTTATCATCGTCGTCGTCGCCGACGTCGTCATGAGCATCAGCAACAGTAGAAGCGTCAGCATCATCATCATCATCATCATCATCATCACCATCATGATCATCATCATCATCAACAGCAGCAACCACCATCATCATCATCGTCACCACCATCACCATCATCATCGTCATCACCATGACCATCACCATCATCATCATCATCAGCATCATCATCATCGTCGTCATCGACACCATCATCATCAACATCATCATCACCATCAGCAGCAGCAGCAGCAACCATCATCATCAACAACAACATCAATGAGGGGGTCCTGGGACACACACATAAATACACACATGAAAATATTCCCTATAATTTCCCATATGCTTTGGCTATTTGTCTTCCCCCCCAGTTTCCATATTTTCCGATATTTTCTGGGAAATCGACGATGAATTATGTCTGTGTGTTTTTCCCTCCTGGCACAACAGCATCAGCAGCAGCATCATCAGGAGAATCAGCAACATCATCAGCAGCATCAGCATCATCATCATCGTCATCATCATCACCACCAGCAGCATCATCATCTTCATCATCATCAGCAGCAACAGCAGCGTCATCATCATCATCATCATCATCATCATCATCATCATCATCATCATCATCATCATCATCATCATCATCATCACCATCATAATCATCATCATCACCACCACCATGATCTCATGTCTCGTCATCATCATCCTCCTCGTCCTCCTCCTCCTCCTCCTCCTTTTCCTCCTCCCTCTCCTCATCCTCCTCCTCCTCCTCATCCTCCTCCTCCTCCTCCTCCTCCTCCTCCTCCTCCTCCTCCCCTTTCTCCCCTTCCGCCTCCTCCTCCTCCTCCTCCTCCTCCTCCTCGAACCCCGACCCTCCCTCCCTCCCTCGCGCGACGGTCGCTCTCAAGCCCTGCGTGCCTCGCGCGCAGGTCCTTGCGCGCAGGTCCGAGTAACTCACGGGGCCCAGTCCGAAGCAGTCCACGAGGCAGTGCCCCTGGCGCCGGGCGCGGAGGGTGCAGGTGCGGGGGTGGCAGCTCGGGAGGCACGCGCTACCTCCTCCTCCTCCTCCTCCTCCTCCTCCTCCTCCTCCTCCTCCTCCTCCTCCTCCTCCTCCTCCTCCTCCCCCTCCTCGTCCTCGTCCTCCTCCCCCTCCTCCTCCTCCTCCTCCTCCTCCTCATCCTCCTCTTCCTCCTCCTCCTCCGCCCTCACCGACAAGGATTGTGCTGATCGTCTGATCATTGTTGTGGATCCTATTCGGGTGCCAAGGGGTCGGCGCTTTCGGCACTGCTGCTCGCGATGATTTTTTTTTTTCGTGAGGGGGGTGGCGACCCGAACGATGAAGTCCCACGCCATGTCCAAGCTCCTGTCAGGCATCAGGCACGCTTCACGAACACTGAAATGCAACTGCCCCCGGCCTGCGACATCCAGTTGTGAGTATATGTGCCCCTGGGCCTACTCAGCCGGAACATAAAACCCAACGCAACAAGACGAATAGCGCCCAGAATTCGAGCCAGCAGTGGACCGATACAATACCAAACGATGCAGGGGGAGACGCGAAAGGAGAGGAGGAAAAGGAGGCAGTACGCGGTCCTGAAATCAGAGTGGAAACTGGGACCCGATAATGTACAGTGTCCCCGGGACTGGACTGAAGAAACATAGCCGCACGAACCAACCTGCAGCAGGCAAGCTCATGTGTTGAAACGCAGTCAAAACTGCGCAACTAGCATGGGACAGGAGCGGGGGGAGGAAGGGGAAAAGGACGATGGCAATACAGAAAACGTGTAGAACAAGGCTACCGCACGTTGGGCGTAATAGATCACCAACACATTATATTCGATCGTGATGCAAATGCAGATGAATAAAAGGTGCATCCCCGACACAGCACCTTTTGGCGCACTGGGCACGCAGGCCATGGCACGGCAGATGGGGCAAGCCCAGAGCATCGGGGCCCTAGGGTTGGCCGACCGCCGACAGCGGTAGCAAGACCGTGGGAGTGCGCCGCGCGCACATGCAGGCGGCGAGAACCACCAATTCCCTGGCTTGGGGGACGGGAGGGGGAGCAGCGGGGAGGACGGAGGGGAACGTTCACAGTTTCGACTGCGGCCAAATCCATCGGCCACGCGGCCGGGACAGCTACAGGCCTGCCGGCCCGGACTCTACGACGTGCACGGGAGGGCGAGGAGGAGAAAGGAGGGAGGAAGAGGAGGCAGGGGAGGACGAAGGGGAGCGTGCACAGTTGCAGCTCCGGCCGGGTCCAGTAAAACAGGGCTAGGATCGGGATCAATCGCTCCAGAGCGTTCCGGAGCGCTCTCAGAGCGTTCCGGAACGCTCTGGAGCGGCCGCGGCGCCCAATACATCCTCCAAACCCGCCGATTCTCAGAGATTTCGAGTTATCCCGATCCGATTTTGTCCCGACCTTCGTGTCGTTTTATCCAGGGCAGACCCCCACGCGACAGTCCATCGGACACGCGGCCGGGACAGCTATACAGGCCCGCCGGCCGTGACTTCACGACGTACACGGGGGGATCGAGGAGGAGACAGGCCGAGGAGGCGCAGAGCCGGCCCACCCCAGAGAGGGGCTAGCGGGCGCTCCGCCCCCGAGAGGCGAGCGCGGGAGGAGGAGAAAAAAGGGGAATTCGGAGCACCTACATTTGCACCGCGGGGCCGGCCAAGGCGAAGCACTTCAATGTGCACCGCCAGACAGGCCAGCGAATGGCCATGAACGCCGCTGTTCCGACTGCACAGACGAGGAGGAGGAGGAGGAGGAGGAGGAGGAGGGCGGGGAAAAGAAGCAGGGGCGGGAACATGGGCAGTTAGTCCTGCGCACCACGGAAAAAACAAAGCGTTGGTTGCACCGGCCGCGTGGCCGATGGCGCCGGCGCGCGCTCGCCGAGCGCTCCGACCTCAGTGCACCTAGCCGGCCTCGCCAGGGTCCACAATGAGTTTTCCTTCGGAGGAGGTGGAGGAAGAAGGAAGAAGAAGAAGGGGCAGGAGGAAAAACGATGTGGCGCAATAGAAAAAATGCACTCACGATAGCTCGTCGTCGTCGGCGTCGACGCGCTCGTTCCAGTCCGCCGCGAGCACCTCGCGCAGCTGGACCAGCAGCACTCGGAGCATCGAGGCTGGCCCCAGACGAGGTCCAGGGTGGTGCCGCCACCAGCCATGGAGCTTGTGCGTGGCCGCCATCAGCAGTGGACGCCGCAGTACATCATGACGATGCCGCCCAGGCTGCGCATGCAAGGCGCCCAAGAAGCCCTCCAACCGATCCTTCAGTGTGGACGGTTGCACCAAGAGGTAAGAGGTGCCAAAGGCGAGGCCGTGCTTGCACGTGGCGCAGTGCTCGATAAGATCGCCCTGGACGCGGCCCATCATGCGCGTAGCGTGCCGGTTCTGCATGCGCCGCCCCGTCAGCCAACAGTTGGCGAATGTGCGCAGCATTGCGGCGACCACCCTCGGCTGCGCGTGCCCCCGCGGCCAGTTGACAATTACCCAGAAACGATCGACCCTGCGGCCTGGAAGCACATTCGGACGCCAGCGGTCAGCCATCCGCCGTAGGAGGTGGATGCAGCTCGGCGATCCTGGGGGCGAGGTTGAGCGTGCAACGCTGAAGGGGCCCCAGGACACACAAATAAATACACACAAATAAAAATGTACCCCATATTTTCCCACATTTTCTGGGTTTCTGTTTTCCCCCCCACTGCCCAGATGTTCCCATATTTTATGGGGGATCGACGATTAATTGTGTCTCTGTGTGTTTTTCCCCTCCTGAAGCGCGGCTCTCTGCAGACCTCGCCGAGCCCGACGTGCTGACTGCCTTGTCCACGGCCGGGGCCCGCCCAACTGGCGATCGATCCAGAGGGGCGGCGGGGATGCCGCGCGCACTGTGAGCCCCGACCGCTTGCGAGAGAGTGCGGAAAATGCCATCGAGCCGCGAGTGCCACAGGGCCACCCGGAAGACCGCCCACACACTGGAGTCTCGTCTTGGAGACCCCCCACTAGACAACTTTCAGCCCGGGAGCCACCCTGCCTCCACCTGGTCACCACCTCGCCCGACACCCCGCCCACACACTGGAGTCTCGTTTTGGAGACCCCCCACTCTTGTCAGCGTCGTGCTCCAGGCGGCGAAGTGCTCCCGACCGTGCCGCGGCCCGGAGCACGCCCGTGGATCCCGCTTCTCGGGCGACGATGCGCAGCTCTGCCGCCTTGGCCATGTAGGCTACACTTGCGAAGGTGTCTTCGGCATTCCCACCAGGTACAAATATGGGAGCAGAGACAGCAATGAACCGTTTCCAGGGCAGCGCGCCAAGTTCTTCATGCATTTGGCCTCTAGGTTTTCACACCCTGGCGGGAGGTGTTCCAAGTTTGCGACGTAGGACAAGACAGGCATAATGGATATCGAATAAGCAAGTGCAGCGACGTGTAAACCGTTTCCAGCTTGGCCCCAGAAGGACAACCTCTCCAGATATTTCCCCATCGGTTTCTCCCAATACTTGGGCGCCCGCCCTGGGCCCAAATACACTCCCAGGTAATTCGCTGACTCGTCAAAATGCATCCCTCCCCACTGCGGCAACTCATGCTGCACCGCGCGCCGAGCCACCGGCGGGCTTGGTTCAGCGAGGCCCAGCCAGACGCACCTGTCCATGTTCAACCCCAGACCAGATATGGTGCCATCCTCTGCCAGGAGGGACGCCAGCAGTGGGGCTGACCCCCGCCAATCCCGAAGGACTATGGCAATGTCGTCGGCGTACGCCCTGACGAGCGCGCCAGGTGCCACCCAGCGAATGCGGCGCAGCAGCAAATCGGCCACGATCGCAAACAGCACCCGGGATACCGGGCACCCCTGTCTGATCCCTCTCTCGACGTAGAAACCCGAAATGTCACAAGGCCGAAAATACAAGGCCGAACATACAACAAACACAAAGGCATCATCATCAGTATCATCATCATCATCATCATCATCATCATCATCATCATCATCATCATCATCATCATCATCATCATCATCATCAGCATCAGCATCATCATCATCAGCATCAGCATCAGCATCATCATCATCAGCATCATCATCCCCGCATCATCATCGGCATCATCATCATAGTACATCATCATCATCACCATCATCAGCAGCCTCATAATCCGCCTCATCATCATCAACATCGTCAACAACAGCATCACCAGCATCATCATATTCATCATCAACAGCATCATCCGAATCATCACCATGATTACCAGCATCATCATCACCATCAGCAGCATCATCATCACCCTCATCCGCGTCATAATCATATTCACAAGCATAATCAAACTCATAATCATTATCATCATCAAATCAGCACAATCATCACCACCACCATCACAAGCATCATCATATCGCCGACAGCATCATCATCAACAACCTCTTTACCGTAAACATCGTCACCATCAGCATCGTCATCGTCATCCTCCTCATCATGATCATCATCATCATCATCATCATCATCATCATCATCGCCATTCCCTCGCCCGCATCAACATCAATCATCATAGTCACCTCCATCAAAATCAGCATCGCAATCAGCATCAGCATCATCAGAACCACAATCACCAGCGCCATCAGCATCATCATCACAATCATCATCATCAACATCATCATCATGACAACAAAAAACGTCATCCCCATCATCACAATAATCATCACCCCACGCTGCTAGGGAAGCAAAGAGCAGAAACAATCGCACTCCAAAACAAAGCAGTGAGACGAAGCCAGACGCTCCGCAACAACATCTGGACGCTCTGATGGAAATTGAAACACCTTCTAAGAACTGAACGCATCCAAATGCAACTGTCGTTGGGCTGGGCGGGGACCTGGTCGAATGCAAAGACCGAATGGAGATAATCAAGATGACGAATCAATCGAAAACCCCATGCCGGGCCTTCGACAGCGTGGCAACGCGGGGCGCCGCGGCTCATATTCGGACTCGGGGACGGGCCGACAAAGAAACGCGTGCCAGGCAAGGGGCAGAAACGGGCAAGAGATCGAGGAACCGAGGAGCGAGGGGGAGAGGGGGGAGAGGGAAGGAGGACGACAGGCAAGGACAGACTGGGCCGACAGACGGACGGACGGGGGACAGGGAGGGGGAGCCAAGCAGAAGGGAGAGGGAGAACACAAACCGCACAAGGACAAGGAAACACAAGGGCAAGGGGGGACACGGGGAGGGAGAGGGGGAGGGGAGAGGAGAGGGAAGAAGAAGGAGCCGGGGGAAGAGGCCAAGGCCAGAAAGGCAGAAGGCGTGCCGAGAAGCACCGATCAAGAAAGTGGCCGGCCTCCCTCTCGATGGGGCCGAGACTGCAAAGAGCGGCCGCGCTCGGAAGAGGGAAAGAGGCGGAGAAGGCGGGGGGGGGACGAATACGACGCAGGACATGCCGCCGCCGCCAGCCCGTCAAGGCGAGCGTGCCGCGTTGCGCCTCCTGCGCCGGCTCGCGCACGGCGGTCGCCGCGGCCGCCGCCCACGCAGCTCGCCCTGCGCGGGCTCTGGCCCGCTGACGCTCCCCCCTGGGCGGCGCAGCCGCGGGCGAGGAGGATCGCCGCGCGATGGGGCACCTCTCGTCGCACGCTGGGCGGCGCCAGCCCCTCCTTCCGAGCGACCGCTGCTGCGACGGCCCGGAAGGCCGCCTCTGCGCCCTGGCTCATGCCGCCCTGTTGTTCGAGGGCCACTGGCCGGAAGGCCAGGCCCTGGGCGCGACACCTCTTCTCGGTCCGGCCCCGCCTGCGCATGTCTTCGTCGTGGGTCTCGGACGGGAGCCCAGCGGCCAGCGCAGTGTCCGCTCAGTGGCCCGGACCCAACACGTTGATGACCGCGAAGTCGAAGCAAACCTTCTCCGCCCCGACAGCACGGCTGCCGTCGGGGAGGTGCGTCGCCAGGGCCAAGTGCGGAATCACGAGGACGTCGGCCGACCTGCGCTCATCCGGTGGCGCCTCCGGGCCCTCCTGGAGCAAGCCCGGGACCTCGGACTGTGGTCGCAGCCCGCCTCGGCACGCGTAATCGTGGAAAACGTCGCGAACCGCGTCATCATCATCATCATCATCATCATCATCATCATCATCATCATCATCATCATCATCATCATCATCATCAGCAGCAGCAGCAGCAGCAGCAGCATCCTCATCATCGTCATCGACACCATCATCACCATCGTCATGACCATCAGCATCATCATTATCATCATCATCATCATCATCAGAATTATCATCATCATCCTCATCATCATCATCAGCATCGTCATCGTCATAGTCATCGTCATCGTCATCGTCATCATCATCATCATCATCATCATCATCGCCCTTGCCATCGCCATCACAAGCATCGCCATTGCCATCAAGATCCGCTTCACAACCACCACCATTATCGTCATCAGCATCGCCATCAGCATCGTCATCAACGTTAGCAGCAGTATCATTATCAACAATATCATCATCAGCAGCAGCATCATCACCATCATCATCAGCATCATCAGCATCATCAGCATCATGAGTATCATCGTCATCATCATCAACAGCAGCATCATCAGCATCATCAGCATCATCGTCAGCATCATCGTCATCATCACCACCAGCATCATCACCATCATCATCAACAGCATCAGCATCCTCGTCATCATCATCAGCATGATCATCATGATCATCCTCATCCGTAGCCATGTTGGCTCAAGCTACGTTTCCTTCTTTCTCCATTGCCCTTTTCGTCCAGGGCCGCTGCGTGCTGCGTGGGGTCTGGAGGCTGCTGAGCGGAGAGTGGGAGGTTTGGTGATGGCGCAGAAGGGCGAAAGCTGCGGAGCGGAACGCCGCCCGCCAAGCTGCCAGTCAATCAGCTGACTTGGCCATCCAGAAGCTTCCGCTGGAGAAGGAGCACCTCGCCCAAGAGTACGCAGTGCTCAAAGAGGCGGGGGCCGTGCTGGTCACGGCCGAGGCGCCCATCTTCGCCCCGCTCGAAGAGCTCCATTGACTCTTAGTGGAGTTCCCTGGAGAGCACCATCGGTCCGCGGGGCGAGTACAACCATTGGTGCGGCGACGTGCACGCCTGCATCAAGCGTCAGACGGCCAATTGTGACAACTGACAGGGTGCCTCCCCCCCCACCGCAACAGAGGGCTCCAAAGGTGGCAGCCAAGGCTTGGAGGCAGCTGATGCTGATGCAGCCGCTCGTGGTGGTGATCCTCGCGTTCGTGGCTTGAGCGATGTCGGGCTGCCCATGGAAGCGTGGTGTTAGCAGCGTCATCATCGTCGTCAACAGCATCATCATCATCATCATCATCATCATCATCATCATCATCATCATCATCATCATCATAATCATCATCATCATCAGAATCATCATCATCATCAGCAGCAGCATCAGCATCAGCATCATCAACACCATCATCCTCATCCGCATCCTCATCCTCATCAACATCATCAGCATCATCAGCATTATCAACATAATCAGCATCAGCATCGTCATCGGCAACGTCATCATCATCCTCATCGCCATCGTCATCCGCATTGCCATCAGCAGCAGCAGCAGAAGAATCGGCAGCAGCCGCATCGGCATCAACATCATCATGAACGACAATCTTGTTCGCCGGCCCAACGGGCGAGAGGCGTGCTAAGATCTCCGGTAACATCTATATAATATTTCTACATCGCGCGCGCGGGGCGGCCCATAGGGGTCCCCGGACCAAAGTACCCCGGGCGCGGCCCAGGCGCGGCCCGGACGCGGCCCGGGCGCGGCCCAGGAGACTCCCCCAGGGCTCTCAGGATCGCCCCAAGAGGGCATCAAGAGGCCCCCAACACGGTCCAAGAGAGGCCCGAGACGCCCGAAGATCGCTCCACGACGCCCAAGCTGGCATCCAGACGGCCCAAGAGGCCTCCAAAATGGCCCTAGAGGCCTCAGGAGCACTCCCAAGAGAACCCACAGAAGCAAAATGAATTGCTTTCCCTTAGGTTTGGACAGATTTGGCCGTTTCCACCTGTTCGGCTTCCCGACGCCCCTAGACGGCTCAAGAGGCCCCCAAGATCGCCCCAAGAGGGCCCGAGAGGCCCCCAAGAGGGCCCCAAGACGGCCCAAGACGGCCCAAGACGGCTCCAAGACGGCCCAAGAAGCCCCCAAGACGGCCCAAGAGGGCCCCAAGAATGCCTCAAGAGGGGCCCCAAAAAGGGAACACGAAACAAAATCTCGAATTCTCGGCCCTCAGAGGCCCCCAGGAAGCCCCAAGAGGCTCCCAAGAGGCCCCAAGACGCTCCCAAGACGCCCCCAAGACGCCCTCAGGAAGTCCCCAAGAGGCCCCCTAGAGGCCCCCAAGCGCCCTCAGGAGGCACCCCAAATGCCTCCCGAGCACACAACCAGCCAGCGATCCTCCTCCTCCTCCTCCTCCTCCTCCTCCTCCTCCTCCTCCTCCTTCTCCTCCTCGTCCTCCCTCCTCCCTCCTCCATCCTCCCTCCTTTCTCCTCCCTCCTCCCTCCTCCTCCTCCCCTCATTCTCTTTCCTCTTTCCTCCTTCCTCCTCCTCATCCTCCTCCTCCTCCTCCTCCTCCTCCTCCTCCTCCTCCTCCTCCTCCTCCTCCTCCAAGGAAACCCGAATGATGATCTTGAGGGGAAGCCCGAGGAAACCTGAGGGGATACTCGGGAGAAGACCCAAGGGAGAATCTGCAATTCGCCGGCCCAACGGGCCAGAGGCGTGCTAAGATCTCCGGAAACTGGTTCCCTGGACGACAAGTACCCCAGCCAGGTCCCCGTCAGGTCCCCCCAGAGCACTCCAGGGGAGGGCCATTTTTCGACACCCTTCACGAGGATCGTGGCCTCCGAGGGGGGAGCCGCAATCGACTACCCCCCCTCCCGCCCCAAGAGGCCCCCAAAAGCCCCCAAGAGGCCCTGGGGGCCCCCAGGACGCCGCCAAGGAGCCCCAAGAGACTCCCAAGCGGTCCCCGAGAGGCCCCCGAGAGGCCCTAAAGAGGGCTCATGGGCCAGCGTAATGAGCGAAGCGATTAAATAAGCAACAACAGATTTTCAGTCATGTGCATCACCAGGATCAGCATCCTCCTCCTCCTCCTCCTCCTCCTCATCATCATCATCGTCATCATCGTCATCATCGTCATCATCGTCATCATCATCATCATCATCATCATCATCATCATCATCATCATCATCACCATCATCAGCAGCAGCAGCATCACCATCATCATACTCATCATCATCATCATCATCAGCATCATCATCATCATCATCATCATCAGCATCATGCTCATCATCATCATCATCATCATCATCATCATCATCATCATCATCATCCGCAGCAGCAGCATCAGCATCAGCAACAACAGCCCCATCAGCATCATCGGCATCGTCATCATCAGCATCATCATCATTGTCATTAGCAGTATCGCCATCAAAAGCTTCAACATCATAATCATCAGCATCCTCAACAATGTCAGCATCAGCATCAGCATCGACAACAACAGCATCATCATCTGCATATTATTCTTCATCGTGATCATCAACATCATCAGCATCATCATCATAATCGTCATCACCGTCGTCGCGGCCATCATCCTTCTCCCCCTTCTTGACGCCATCACACCACGATCATCTTGATAACCATCATCGTCACCGTCGTCATTGTCGTCGTCGTCGCCGCCGCTGTCGTAATCGTCGGCATCCTCGGTATCCTCCTCGTCGTCCTCCTCGCCACCATAAATAATCATCGTCACCATCACCACCGTCGTCATCATCACCATCATCATCATAACTATCATCATCATGATCAGCATCACCATCATCATCATGATCGTCTATGCCTAGGCGTCGTCATCGTCAGCAGCAGGAGCATCGCGGCACAAGCATCATCAACTGCCACAACTTAACGAAAGTCGTCGCCATCACCAGCATCACTGTCACCATTTCCGTCATCATCGTCCCCTGATTGTCATCCTCTTGCTCCTCCTCAAAGCCTTGGGCATCGCTGAGCTCGAGCTGGGCACGCTCTCATCGCCGCCTTCAGGGGCCACCTCGGCAGCTGTTTTCAGCGAGCTACGAACTGCGCACGCCGCGAGCACGCCGAACCTCGGAAAGAGGAGAGTGCGGGGGAATGGCCCTTTGCACCGAACAAGGAGGGACCTCTTAGGCAACGCCCAATTGGGGCAGTATGAATGCTATCATGGAACAAGTTGGAAACCGCTACGGAGACAACTGCAAAAACACCATGAGATATATTCAGGAGCCAAATGCGAGATCCACCCCATTGCCCAAACGCCGATCTGCCCGGTAAGCATACGAGCACAGATGCATTCGCACATGAGTGCGCATGCGGGTGCGAGCAGGATCCTGCGCTCAAGTACATCAGCGCATACAGACATCATGTCACAAGCATGTAACGCGACACAGCGCGGTGAGAACGATGATGGATATCGCAAGATGGAACAACAAAGGTGGACAATGAGTCGCTAAACCCAAGAAGCCATGTGGGCGCAGAATGTTCAGCGTGCTCGTTATTCCAATCCCTGTCTTCCCCTCACCGATGTGGCAGATGGCCCATTAGCCGCGCCTGGCACGCTCGGGCCCTCTGGGGCAACTGGCGCGCCCGGTGCTGGCGGCGCACGCAGCACGCGTGACGCACCGCGCGACTGTCGCGCGCCTGGCGTCCGTATTGGCTCGCAGTGGATGCCCATGCGATGGCTACCTCTGCGTTTGCTGAGTATCAACGGGGTGCTTACTTGGTGGGAGGGCTGATGGGATTGTTTTCCACCACCACCACCATGAGTTGGAAGGGGGAAGGAGGAGGAGGACGAGGAGGAGGACGAAGAGGAGGACGAAGAAGAGGCGAAGGAGGAGGAGGAGGCGGAGGAGTAGGCGGAGGAGGAGGAGGACCCCCTCCCCCTCCAACTTCTGGTGGTGGTGGTGGAAAACAAGCCCATCAAGGGCGGATGGCCACGAGCGGAGAACATCCGCATTTGCGCCATCACGGTCTGGATTCCGGGGCGCGGTCGCCCGGATATGCAGTCGCAAGGGACAATTACGTCCCGCGCGGGGCAGCCGCGAAAGTGCGGGCATGTTCCGCACACGAGGTGGGAGACCGCCAAAACAGCTGTGGGTCTCCCGTTGGGAGTCTGAACCCTCCCCCTGCCCCATCTCCCGGGTCTGGGCGCAGCCGGGCGAGACCCATTGGAGAAGCCAGGATGGCCCCCCAGTGTGGCTCCAGGAGGGTCCCATGTAGGTCCAGATGAGCTCCAAGATAGCAAAAGACACGTGACTATGGCCGAATGTGGCTTCCAGCATGCCTCCGACAGGCACCAGGACTGCTCCAAGGCTATTCCAAGTAGCCTCGGAGCCTACCGCAGATGCCCCCGAGAGGCCAAAATGATTCACATATCTAACCTAAGGCTGTTCAATGATGTTCGCCTTCTCTCATACTTGCTTACGATGGATGTCTGTGGCTTCAAAACTGGCTCGAGGACGGCCCCGAAGACCTCAAGAGCGCTCCATGGCCGCCACACGAGGACTCCAGGAGGCGATGGCTCGCGCTCCAGAGGGGAAGCTCTAGTTCACGCCGCCCCCTGCTCAACAGAGCAAAAGGAATGAAATACCAAAGGTATTTCAAGGAGTGTGGCCTAATGAGGGGGGCATGCGTGGGAGGCGCTCGGCCATCATGGCTCCAGGACGCTCCTGTGTACTCCGAGATTGCCTCCGGGATAGCACACGAGATGTGGCAACATAGCCTCCAGCATGCCTCCAAGAGGTCACAAGACTGCTCCAAGACGGCTCCAAGTGGCCTCGAAGCCTCCCGAGGAAGCCCCCAAGAGGAGAAAACGATTCAAAAGCAATGTTGCTGAATGAGTTTGTCGTTCTCGCCTTTCCGACTCCGATGGTTTTCTGGGATCTCTAGCTGGCTTCATGATCGCCCAAGGAAGCCCTGAAAGGGACCCAGAACAGCTCCTAGACGGCCCCGGAAGCACCCAAAACCGCCCTGAGAACGTCCCATGAAGTGCCCGAGGGGCAATGTGTTTCCCATGTTGATGGATGCCCTCCAGGAGTCCCCCCCCAAGGCTTCCAGGAGCGCCCCCGAGAGAACCCCCAAGGCTTCCAAACTTAGAACAAGAACGCCTCAAGATGGCCCCAAGAAGCATCCCAAAAGCTCTAGATCGACCCATCCGCGAAAGACCTTTCTGGCAGGCTGCTGGGTTTGCTCAGACTCGTTCCGTGCCTCGGTTCGTCGGCGGCCTGCCCCATCCGATCCACTTCATGCTCCCACACTTCCCTGGTAAGGGCAACGCGTCTGGGGATCGTTTCTGGATAGGCTGGTGGGGATGCGCGCGCGGGGCGTCAAGAATTGCTCTGTTCTGCACTAGGGCGACGGCCTGCTCCTGGACACGAGACCCGTCGCGATTCCATCCTGGCGCGCGGAAGCCATTTTGAAGATTGGCGCGTGGTGTGGGAAGACACCATGGTCACTGGCAAGCCTTCCATATCTCGTCGTCGCCTGTGTTTCAATGCTGCGGCAAGAAATAGGACGGAGATCTGGACGTCATGGCAAGTCATAAACAATGAATCTCCGACCGCGTACTGCATTCATTCATACGGAGACGGCAAAAGCCCTGCGGCACAATGTCCTATGCTTCGCGTGCATTCGAAAATCGTGCGAGGCACACAGCTTGAAACATCTATTGAGAGCACACACCAAACCTCCTCAGGAGGGCTGGCAAAGGGTCCCCAAAAGACTTTCCGCCCAGGCAAGTCGCACACCCTGCACCCGCTCCTCCTCCTCCTCCTCCTCCTCCTCCTCCTCCTCCTCCAACTCCAACTCCAACTCCTCCTCCTCCTGTCCTCCTCCGCCTCAGCCTCCTCCTCCTCGTCCTCCTCCTCCGCCGCCTCCTCCTCCTCCTCCTCTCTCTCTTGATCCTGCTGCTGCCTCCGCTCCCCCCCCGCACCGGGAGGAGATAAAAGGGCCTTACACCTTTCAAGAGGGCTACAAGGTGATCCTACGGTTGGGCGCAAAAGAGGGGAGGGGGGGCGGATCGACCCCCCCCCTTTCCAGCGCCAAGGGGGGGAGGGGGCGGGGGAGGGGGTGTTTCGGGTTTCGGATCCCCCCCCCCACTTAAGGGGGGGAGCGGGGGGGGGGTCGAAAACCTCACCCCCCCCTTTGAAGGGGGTGAGGGGTGGGGGGTTCTTCGAGCACACACACCCTTTTGTGTACTCAGGGTCATCCACTGGCGCGCTTTCCCAATCAAGGCCCCCGTGCTCAAAGACATGGGTATCCAACCTCTGCACCCCCAGGTCGCCCAGGAGTCAAGCGACTCAAGAAAACAAGAAAAGAGCTGTCCCGCAAAGTCGGTGAAGCCGTCCGGGTACCAGTTGAGAGATCTGGTCTTGCCGCCCCTGCGCGACAGTGGATCGCGACGGAGGAACAGCAGAGGAGGAGGACCAGAGTAAATACAGGATGCGTCAACGACGCTGCAACACACCATCCCGTCACAAGCTCCCTCCACTCGGGTGTTCGCCAACGGGGGGGCGCTTCCGATGATGAAGTCGGACCAACGACAACGAAGGCTTCTAATCTATCCGGTAGCGCAGCGATGATGGCAAAATCCTGCAATTGCCCCGGACTCGGGCGGAGGGGGAGGGGGAGGCAGAAGCGAGAGGGAGGAGGGGAAGGAGAGGAGGGGGGAAGGGAGACAAGGGCGCCGTGTATGCATCCCCATACGGTCCAAGCGACGATTCATATAAGTTCTCGAACACAACATCCAGAGAAAAAGAATGCACCCAGTGCAAGGCAAGCGATGCGGAGTGACAAATGTTAGGCTGCACCTTGGGAGGAGGCGGAAGGAGAGGAGAGGAGCAAAAAGGAGATGACAGAGGCAGGAGGACACAGAAATTGCGCTAAGATCACAAACTAGGCTAAGACACCACTTTCGGTGGGACCATCGTCGACCCTGAAACAAAAGGTCGAAGTAAGCGCGGGGTGGAAAACGGGGAGGGGGCAGTGAGCGTGGGGTGAAGAAAAGAAAACCAGCTTGCGTCCTGCTGCTGAGCCCGCGGTGGCAAGTTCAGAAGTCATCCGGTTCCCTGCAATCCTCGATCCCCCCAAGGTGTATTGCACCCCACCCCCCCAGGTCGGTTGCCCGCCGCCCAACACGCACACAGGAACCTGCAGACATCCCTTGTCGCGGCGGAGAACGCCCCAATGGAAAGACGAGCGCCCAAAAGCGCCCGCCAAGCGGGAGAGCGCTCGTGTTTAAAAGGAATTGGTTTCCCCATGTTGGGCCAAAAGGAATGCTAAGAGGTGGGATTCCAACGCGCTGCAAAAGGCAGGGCTGCCCAGCAAAAGCCCCGCTCTGAGAAAAGGTTCTGCGATCGACCCCCCAACGCCGCCAGGCAAGGTTGCGGAGCCAGTGATACAACGAGGAAAAGTCGGAAGCGAGAGCCCCACTGTGAAAAGAAACCGCCCTTCATCCTTGCAACCGCGGGAAGCCTCCAAGAAGTTCACGCAGCGCTGATGCAAGAGCACATGTTGAAAACCACTGGCCCTCCATCTTTGTAAGTGCTCGATGCGGTCAACAAGAATGCGCGGTGTCTGGGCGAGAACCACATGTTCAAAGCAGGCCGCCCCTCAGCCAGTCTGACTGGTGATCACCACACCCCCAGCAGTTGTTGAAGTCTTGCGACGGACGCGTGCGGCGTTGAAGCAAGAACCACTTGCTGAAGCCAAACCGCACTCGCTTGCGCAGCTGCTCGGCGCGTGAAACGAACGCGCGCGGCTCTGAGCCGATACCCACATGTTGAAAACGCCCGCCCTCGTCGCTTCGAGCGGATGGAAGCGGCTACTGAACAGCACTGTGCGCGGCACTGGGGCGATAAGCAAGACAAGACAAGACAAGACAAGACAAGACAAGACAAGACAAGACAAGACAAGACAAGACAAGACAAGACAAGACAAGACAAGAGACAAGACAAGACAAGACGAGACGAGACGAGACGAGACGAGACGAGACGAGACAAGACAAGACAAGAGCCCGCGTCAAGACACCTGCGAAGGTGCGGCGGGTGGGCGCTGGGGCGCTGGCATGGGCTGGCCGCTCGGGAGCTGGAGCCGGGCAATGGGATCCGGGGCAGGGAAATAGCAGACGGAGCCCGAGAGATGGGAGTGGGTACCTGACTACCTACCAGACCACCCCAACCCAACCCGAAGACCCGAATTTCGGGTTGGGGGGGGTAGGGGTTCCACGCGTGCTTTTTCGATGTTTCCCGACCCCCCCCCCACTAGAAATCGAGGGCAAATCTGAGCCTTCGGGTTGGGTTGGGGTGGTTTGGTGGGGAGTGGGTACCGGAGCCGCAGTCGGAGACGTGGGAGCCGAAGTTGGGCACGGCCTGCCGCTCACTGGATGGATTCAGTACTCTTCGTCGCCGTTGGGGGGATCAGGGACTGGAGGAGGGACACATACCGCCACAGTCGGATGCATGAGACTGGAACTGGGGCCGGCGTCGGCGAGATGGAAGCCGGAATCGAGGCCGGAAGCGGAGAGATGGGATGCGAGCCGGAGTCAGGAAAAAATGGGAGCCGGAGTCAGGAAAAAATGGGAGCTGGAGTCGGAGCTGGAGTCGGAGAGATGGGATGGGAGCTGGAATCGGAGAGTTGGGAGCCGGATGCGGAGCCAGAGTCGGGGAGATGGGATCCGGCGTTGGAGCCGGGGGTCCTTATCGGGAGTCCCTGTCAACTTATCTGGGGTCCTCGTCAACTTACCGGGGGTCTTTGCCAGTCGGAGAGATGAGATGGGAGCTGGAGTCGGAAAGAAGGGGAGCCGGAGTCGGAGCTGGAGCCGGAAAGATGGGAGCCAGAGTCGGACCTGGAGTCGGAGCCTCGGAGAGATGGGAGCTGGAGAAATGGGATCTGGAAGCGGAGAATTGGGAGCTGGAGTCGGGACCGGAATCGGAGAGGTAAGAACCGGAGTCGGAGAGACAAAAACTGCTGCCGGGATCGGGGAGTCGTGCTGGCGATATTATCGGGACTCGTTCCGTCGGAGTCCGGGATTCGGGAGTCGTACCACGTTTGGTTGAGGTCGGCGAATGAGCCCATCTTCGAGAGTTCCCCACAGACTCGTAGAAGCAATGCCAAGTATGTGAAAGTGTGACGGATGATGGGGATGATGGTGATGCAATGTAACTCGATAGGCGTGTTGCCGTAGCTGCGACGCTACATGCCTCGCACAAATATTGTTGCAATTCGTGTATCCAGCTTTGCTTGGGCCGTCCTGTTCGCCGGGTTGTTTTGTACCTGAGGTCCTGTTCCGGCGTCCACTGTAAAGCCAGTTGTGCCCATTCGGCGGCCTCCGTCGTTGCGAGGTGTCGCGCCCACCTCCATTTCTGCCTCGTAATTACGTTGTCCAGCCGTCGATCTGGAGCCGCTTCAGGTTCTCCTCTGCGGCGCGCGTGGATCGTCGGATCCAGTCTGCCCAGGACTCTTCCACTTCTGCCTTGGGAATGTCACATGGCGTAGAGGAGGGCGATGTGGTGTCATCAGCGTCGCTAGCGTTGGTTTGGGCGTCGTGGCTGTGCGTGTCGCTGTGGGCGCCCTCCTCAGACAGCGCGTCAATGTCGGGAGGGCGTTGCTGCATCGATGTGGTGGCGTTGGGTCATGCGACGGGGCATGCGCACAATCATCCGGAGCATCTGCCGCTGAGTCTTCCGCAGCCGTTGTTCCAATTGTTTTGTTTGGGGCGATAAGCACATGTTGACAACCACCGGCCCTCCATCCCTGGTAGCTGTAAGGAACGCTCACGAGAAACATACGTGGCGCTACAGCGCGAGCAACATTCGAAAATGCTGCGCCAAATATCCATGTAACAGCTGACAACGTAAAGCATCAGGTTTGCAAGCCAAAATGAAATCCCAAGCGCAACGCAAGCCCGATCCTGTCGATACGCTTGGTGGTGCGATGACAAGGGGCTACTCCGATGGAAGAAGTCTGGAGGAGCAGGAGAAGCCAGACCAGGGAGCCAGGCAAGCGGCGGGGCACGTCAAATTACAGCAGCAGCCCCCTCCTCCACATCCGCTCCTCCTCCTGTCTCACTTCTTATTCTCCTCCTCCTCCTCATCCACCTCCTCCTCACGTCTCCTCCTCCTCGTCCACGAAGATCAGCATCACCCTCATCATCGCCATCGCATTCACCATCACAGTCCTCACCCTCATTATCATCACAACCACCATCACCATCACCATCAACACCCTCATCACTGTCACCATCGTCACCATCGTCAGCATTAGCGTCATATTCGTCCTCATCCTCGTCCTCACAATCCACCTCAGATTCGTCATCATCATCGTCATCAGCAGCACCAGCAGCATCATCATCATCATCATCAGCAGCAGCATCACCATCATCATCAGCAGAATCATCAGCATCAGCATCATCATCATCGTCGTCATCGTCATGAGCAACGTCACCAGCATCACCACAGCCACCAACATCAGCATCATCAGCAGCATAACCATCGTCCTTATCATCCATCCTCAGCATCATGGGAATCATCATCAGCATCAGCAGCATCATCAACAGCATAATCACCACCCTCAGCATCAGCAGCAGCAGCAACACCATCAGCATCATCACCATCAGCATCATCATCGTCATCATCATAATCACAATAAGCATCGTCAGCATTAGCCTCATCAGCATCACCACCATCGTCATCATAATCGTCACCGTCGTCTGTATCAACGTCGTCATCATCAGAACCAGCATCATCAGCATCAGCATCGTCGTCATCAGCATCATCAGCATCGTCGCCATCATCATCCTCATCAGCATCACCATCACAACATACCACCGCCGCAATCATCATCCTCGTCGAATCTCAAGAGACATGAACTTCCAAGAAGCATACAAGTCGACACCCAGATGCCCCGAAGAGGAAGTCAAGGGCCCAAGACGGCAAAATAGAGCACAAGGATGCCCCTGAGATGGCACAGGAGGGCCCAAGATGCCCCCCGCGAGAGCGAAACGTATTGACAAGTCTGTCGAATGTGTTGCTCCTTAGATGTCCCGACGACCCCCCATAGCCTCCGACACTGCCCAAGGCGGCCCCACAGATGAGTGTCCCCCAAAAAAACCGCCCAAGTTTCGCCAAGAAGGTTCAGGAATGACCCGACAATGCCCCCACGATGGTAACAGGGCGCCTCCCCAAAGTGGCCCGCGGTCCCAGATGCTCCAGGAAGCCCCGGGTGAGACCCCAAGACGGCCCAAGAATGCACCAAGCTCAGATGCGTTGTCTCGCTCACTCTGTGCACAAGTAGTGCAAACAGCATGTGGTCGCCAAGCCTGGACAGGCCGTACCGCCCAACTCGACTGAGCCCATACCGACAATGCACAGTCATCCGATACGATAGCTCTGCAAATACTCATCAACTGGGCACACTCACAACGAGAAGCAGCTGAGCACCTGTCGGATGCCATGGCTTCCCTGCGCCCGAGCAGCGCGTTCAGCAGCGTGCTCTTCCCGGCGTTAGACCTCGAGGATAGCGTCACTGGTTATCCCCCTCCCCCTCCCCCTCCTCCTCCTCCTCCCCCTCCTCCTCCTCCTCCTCCTCCTCCTCCTCCTCCTGTTCCGCCTACTCCTCCTCCTCCTCCTCCTCCTCATCCTCCTCCTCATCATCATTATCATCCTCGGGTTTGCGTCAACGGGGGGTGGTGACAAACATGGGGGGAATAAACATGCGCACCTGTCGTGCACCTTGTGAGCCCGCGGTGGCAGTTTGGAAATCGTGCATGGCCCCTTTGAGGCCACGTTCCTGGAGACCTCAATCCCCCCCCCCCCGCTTCTTCTTGCCTCCCCCGTTGCCGGCCGCCCTCCCTCTTATCCCTCTTCTCCTCGCGCTCCCTCTCCCTCGTCCGCCGCCTCCTCCTCCCCTCCCCCTGGAGGGCTGACAGTGCCTTGTCCCTCCTAAGGCTCGGAACCCCCAGCACAGAGGCACGCTGGTACTGCGGGGCAAACCCTGGGCCGACTCAGAACGCCCACCTAGGAGCAGGGCGTGACCAAAGGGGGGGGGGACTGGCTCGGGTGGGGCGGGACGAGGAGGGGGGAGGAGGAGGCGGGACGAGGAGGGAGGAGGAGAAGGAGGAGGAGAGGGAGGAGGAGGAGGAGGAGGAGGAAGAGGAGGAGGGAGCGGAAAGGAGGAGGGGAGAAGGGAGGAGGCAAGGAGCCTCGACCTACGCGTTCCGTCTTCCTGCCCACCATCACACGTCCGCCTCCGCCTCCTCATCCTCTGCCTCAGCCAAGCCTGTTCTGCCGTCCTTCCTTCCGTCACGGTGTACTGCTCTTCCATTTTCCCCTCAGGGAAAGGAGGTACCTTCGGGAGGAGGGTGCAATAAGGGATAGGATGAGGAGGAGAAGACAGAGGGGAAGAGGGGAGTAGAGGGCTGGGGAGGCGGAGGTGGAGGGGCACAGGCAGCCGCAGAAACTCACGAGTCTCGAAGCCAGACCACGGGGGGCAAGGAAGATGAGTCAGACCAGTAAAAAGAAGAGGAGCGGTAGCAAAACGGACAAAAACACAAAGAAACATAACCATTCCCCCCGCAAATGCGGATAGGAGTGAGGGAGACTGTGGTCTCGGCGCGACGTGCTGTGAACTGAACAGAGAAGAAGCCCGCCGCAGGCGCCGACTAGGTATTGAGACCAGACGTTTCTGCACAGCCAAGACCGGCGCCACCAATGGGCCCCCACGACGCCGCGGGCCCCCCGGACGGGTTACCGAAAAAAAAGTGGAGCGGAACATTCAGTGAAGAAGCCCGCCGCGGGCGCCGATTCCTTAGTGTTCAACGCCGCGTGTCCGCGAAGCCAGGACCAGCACCACCCTTGGGCGCCGCGGCGACGGGTCCCCAAACGTGGGCCCCCCTGGCCAGGCCCCGCCGGGCCCCCCCCTGGGCCATAAAGAAGAAGAAGAAGAAGACAGACGCGGCGACGCGTGCCTGCCCCAAGCAGCTAACGCGCGCACGGCTTGAAATGGACTCGCGTGAGCGGAAACCTCTAATTCTGATAAGACGACGCCAGCCTAACAAAACAATAACTGACTAATCATTCGTTTAACAATAAATACAAACACCTCAACTCATACAATGAGTATACACTACTTATCCTGGCGGCCCTGGCGAAGGACCCGACCATATGCAATTGTGAGTACCGCAAGTGTGAATATCTTCTTCGGTGGTGATCCCTATGGGGCCACGAACCGTGCGAGGGGTGTGCCGACATGTGTGGATGGGTACACAACACGAACGGAAACGATAGGCCTGATCACGGGGGACTGGGCGCGGGTGAGACTGAGCGCGAGCGCGTCTGATTGTGATTGATTATGCGTGCGAGTAAGTCAATGCGCATGAATGCGAGCATGGATACGCCCAGTGCAAATGTATGTGACTGTGAATACTGGGCAAAGCGGGGGCCTAACAGGCCACGAAGCGTGTGAGGGGCGTATTGGGTGTGGCGGACGCATGCGACCACCCCCACTGGGGCCTTAAGTGGAGCTCCCTATGGGGCCACGACGCGCTGTACTGGGTGTGGCGGACGCATGCGGACCACCCTACTGGGTGTGGTGGACGCATGTGGACACCGCCACTGGGGCCACGAAACGCTGTATCGGCGGTGGACAAACCTCCCTTTAGTAAACCTCCCCTTAATGAAAGCGGCCTGGGACCGAAACCGATGGACCTGGACACGCAAAAATGACGGCCGCGACGCCCTCTCGCGAACCGAAAACGGCCAATTCCTTAATCGACGTGTCAGGGTAGGAGGTCTATCAACCTCCGACTGTATTTGGTGTGGCGGACGCATACGGACAACCCCACTGGGCTTTCGGTGGAACTCCCCATGGGGCCATGTGGCGGACGCATGTGGCCACCCCCACTGGGGCCTTAGGTGGAGCTCCCTATGAGGCCGCGAAACGCTGTATTGGGAGTGACGACATGGGTGTGGCGGACGCATGTGGCCACCCCCACTGGGGACTTAGGTGGAGCTCCCTCGAAATCGGATCTCATCGGATCGAGCGTCCACGGCTGTTCTGCCATCCTCACGAGGCACGAGCCCGGCATCCGAACCTCTGGCGGCAACTCTCGGTGGACCCTCCCGCCCAGCCCTTCTTCCGTTCTCCCTGAACCCCCCCGCCGTTCACCCCTCCGCTCCTCCCCTCTGGGCCCTGCATCCCTCCCTCCTTCCGCCTTCCCTCGCAAGAGAGCGCGGATGACATTCTTGGTTTGATCTGGACTCGGGTAAGCAACGTGCCCCCAGTCCAATGGGTGGATTGGCCCGAAAGGCCGAACTGGCTAGGCAGGAGGAGGAGGACAAGGAGGAGGAGGAGGAGGAGGAGGAGGAGGAGGAGGGGAGGAGGAGCAAGACGACCAGGAGGAACAGGAGCATCGGACTTCGGACATCGGACATCGACCTGCAGTCGAGGTGCCGCGGGGGCACTGCAGGTGGCCTCCGGGGCGCCACTCTGACTGACAACGACCAGCGGTTAATGCTGAAGCACAAGCGAAGGAGAGGAAAGAGAGAGAGAGAGAGAGACAACTCATGGACAGATGAACTAGAATACTCCGGATTCCACAACAAAGTGGTGGGGGTCACATTTGGGGGGGGTCTGATTTGAGCTGTCTTCAGGGTTCGGGGGGGGTCTGGGCAAAGGGCCGCTCTTTCGTGGATGGTCTGGGGGGGTCTAAAACTTGTGGTCTGGGAGGATTGTGACCCCCTCCCTTTTATTACGAAATCTGGAGTAACCAACGGGATCTCCTGGTAAGTTCCCCCCCGCTGTATATCGACGGCTGCCTCGTTTGTAAGCCACCCGGCGGACCTTCCGACGAAGACGAGCTCGGGAGCGACGGCCTCTGGGAGCTGCCAGAGGTACTTCACCTGGCGGAACAGATGGGTGAGAAGAGAGAACAGCGAGAAACTATATATGACTACCTACCAGACCACCCCAACCCAACCCGAAGACCCGAATTTCGGGTTGGGGAAGGTAAGGGTTCCACATGTGTTTTTTCGATGTTTCCCAACCCCCCCCACACTGGAAATCGAGGGTAAATCTGAGCCTTCGGGTTGGGTTGGGGTGGTTTGGTGGGTGGTGAATATAAGACGAATCCAGGACGAGGATAAAGTCAGATGGAGACAAGTCGAGAATGTCCAGCGGCTCTGGCGAATGTCTCGGGCGCTGCGGCCTTCTCAGAGCGTCCCGAACGCTCTGAGAGCGTTCTGGAACGCTCTGGAACGGATTAATCTTGGTCCTAGCCCCGTCTGAAACAGCGAGAAACAAGATCGGAGAGAGGGAAGGAGAAAGGGAGAGATACAGCTCAGTGCACGGACGGGGACAGCGGCAGAGGCTCGGACAGATGGAGAGGAAGAAGGAGCGAGGAAACAGCACATACACATACATACATACCTATACGACCACCCTTTGGGTGATAAGGAGGTTGGGGGGAAAGAACCAACGGCTGGCAACTGCGATGGGTGTGATGATGACGATGCTGGTGAGCTGGTCTCAATCGATCTCACAATCGAGCTCACAATCGATACCACTGTCGATCTCACTGTCGATCTCGCAATCGGTCGCACGATCGACCTCACTATCGATCTCACTATCGATGCAACTATGGGTCTCACTATCGATCTCACTGCCGCTCGCACGATCGATGCAACTACCGATCTCACTATCGACCTCACTATCCCTCTCACTACCGATCTCACCACGTCTCGGTCGCTATCGATATCGCTGCCGATCTCACTGTCGATCGGGACACCATCGGGACACCATGGCGCGACACCGCGGGACACCTCTGGACACCACGAGGCACCGCGGGACACCACTGGGACCACCGCGGGACACCATCGGGACACCACGCGACACCACGAGACACCGTCGGGACACCGCAGCGGGACACCGCGGGACACCAGCGGGACACCGCGGGACACCACGGCGGGGCACCCACGGCCACCGCGCGCCCTCCACGGGGTCGGACGTTTGCACCCGGATCGCCCCAGCGGCGGCGAGATCGTTCCTCTCGCGCGCCTACGCAGCTACGCCTCGCCCGCACCTACGACACGACTACGAAACCGAAACCGGTTTCCCGGTGGGGGGGCTCGCCCATCCTTTGCGATCTCATCCCCAACCCGTGTACATACACACGCATAACAACAGCGAGTATGTGTGTACATGCCTGTATACGTACTGGCACCATCTCGCGCGCTCTGAGTCCCTGGAATCCCAGCTCGCAGTGAGATGCCGAGGAGTGTGCGGCGGCTGCGGCGGGGGCTTTCGTCCGCAGGTGCCACGGGGGAACGCAATATACAGCCATTCCCTGAGCACAGGGGGGGGTCCAGGAGGACGACGATGAAGGGGCCCTGGGACACACAAATAAATACACACAAATAAAAGGATTCCCCATATTTTCCTGGGTTTTTGCCTTCCCCCCCACTTCCCATATTTTCCCATATTTTCCTGGGAATCGACGAATAATTGTGTCTGTGTGTGTGTGTTTTTTCCCCTCCTGAGACGACGAGGGCGAGGGAGGCGGTCGGGAGGCAGGAGCACGGCGGCGACGAAGCCGAGGGCAGAGCGGGCAGGAGGGGCAGGAGCAGACTGAGAAGCGGAGCCTCTGGGAGGGGCCACGGCGCCCCATCATCCTCCGCGCGTGTGCACCTCCTGGTGTGGCCTTCGGCACATCTCCTGCCGCCGTGCCTGGGGATGTTGGCCAGAGACCTCTCGGATGCCTGCTGGGGTCTCTCGGGAAGCCTCTGGGCAGCTTGTTGGAGACAGTTTTGAAGCCCCCTTGGGGGGCGCTTAGGGACCTTAGATCTTGGAAGGGCCTCTCTTGGAAGGGCCCTTGGGGGGCCCCTTGGGGGGCGCTTGGAAGGGCCTCTCTTGGATCTCTTAGTCGGGTCTCTTGGGGGGGGGGGCTCGAAGGCCCACGGGTCGGACTCGAGACCTCGAGATGTCGCCATCGTCGTCATCCTCGTCATAGCCATCGTCATCCAGATCATCATCGTCGCCGTCATCGTCACCGCCATCGCCTTCGTCATCATCGTCATCGCCGTCGTCACCGTCACCGTCACCGTCGTCGTCGTCGTCGTCGTCGTCGTCACCGTCGTCGTCACCGTCGTCGTCGTCGTCGTCGTCGTTATCGTCGCCGTCACCGTTACCGTCACCGTCATCGTCGTCGTCGTCGTCGTCGTCGTCGTCGTCGTCGTCGTCGTCGTCGTCGTCACGGTCACCGTCACCGTCACCGTCACCGTCACCGTCACCGTCTTCGTCATCGTCTTCGTCGTCGTCATCGTCATCAGTTTCATCTGCAGCAGCATCGTCACCATCATCCCCCCCTCCCGAGACAGCGAGGGGAGGGCGACCTTTGGCCGCCGGCCGAGACGAACACTCCGCGGCGGCGAGTCCTCCCGGCGGGGCCGGAGCCGACGCCGTCTGCTGCCAACGCTGGGGAGATGCTGGACACCGGGAGGTGGAGGGAGAGGGGAATACAGTCGAGGGTCGGGAAACAAGGTTCTCGGGCGTGGAGGGGGGGCAGGGGGAAGGATATGGGGGGAGGGGGGAATGGGAGGGGGGGGAGGGGGCGGCGAGCCCAGGGGGGACAAGTGAGAAGGGGCGGGCCTTGTCAGAAGGTTCGGAAGTCCCCCAGCCTTCTGAGAAGTTTCCCAAGCCTTCCCCGAAGACAGAAAACTTCTCAGAAGGCGCGAGGGTTTCTGAGAAGTCCCGCCGCCATCTGAGAAGCCCTTCTCCTTCTCACTTCCCCCCTCGCAGGCCGCCGAGTCGGGGGGGGGAGGGGGGGCATATCCCCGATGAGCTCCGTGTCGCCAACACATGTAACGCGGGACGGCACCACCGACGAGCACCGCGGCCGACACATCACACGAACCGGCGTGGCATGGCGAGCAACGTACCCTGCAAATCGCACGGATCGATATCGCCGATGCGCGCCGTGTCCTTCAGATCGCTCGTGGCACACAAGCTCTAAGAGTAAGCGAGCGCACACGTGGAAGATAGATCGCTATGCATTATTAGTAGATTCCCTCCCTGCTAGCTGCCTCTCTCCTCATAGTTTCTCCCCTACTTCGACACTATTGGAGCCATGTGTCGGCATGTCTGCCCCTCGCAAGATTTGTATACAAACTGAGCGCTCACAAGCCCAAATGCACCGCCCACCGTGCCAGGACCGTTAAGCAGACAACAAACAAAACATGAGCAAGCGTGAAGAAGGGACAGCTGGCGCCAGGCAAGCTTCCCTCTCAACGTACTGGCTTCCTCCAGAAGGGAGGGGCAGTAGAGGGAAATAGAAGAGAAGGAAGAAAGGGGAAGGGGAGGGAGCACGAGGGAGCGGGTGTAAGAAGAGGTCAGGGGCAGGAATGTGTACACTGCCCTGGAGCTTCGCTGGAAATTCAGATCCATGATACTCCCACATGGAAACGGGCCTGCGGAACCCGACGTCCTTCCAGGAGCACGCCTCCCTCGCCAGATCAGGAGAGCTTCATGTTTCCATGTGTGTCAGCACGAACCCCCAGTCTCAAGAGTGTCCAGAAGTGCCTGCACGCAACCACAGATGGCCCCAAAAAGGCTTGCAGGGCTCCCAAGAGACCCTCAAGAGGGCTCCAAGAGGGACCCGACACCTCCCAAGAGAGGCGTAGGCATCATATCAACAAAAAGATCTGCAGACCAAAGCAGCAATCGCCGGCATACGCAAGTTCCAGGTCAAGCCTGGGTGTGCGTTGATACTTGATCCATCTCAGAACCCGGTCCAATGCCAGAGAGAAGAGAGTCATCGACGACTGATCTCCCTGCCACACTCCACGCATAACTGGGAACCTCTATTCTCAGCAGTCCCAACGGAATTAATCACTGCAATGTTACTCACATACAGAGAAATATAAAACCCAATGAATGGCCCGTGGAATGCCCATGGCCCTGAGACCCGAAAATTCCACGCCGAGAGGATCGAAGGGATTGCCGTCCGATAATCAGAGAATAAGACACCAGCTTAATCAAACCCACGCATAAGCCGACAAAACCTCATGTCTCCACTGAACCACATTATCCAAGATGCTACAGCCTGTCACACACATACACCCCGCTGATGCTCCATGACCGTGCGAGGTGCTACTGAACTTAGCCGATACAGAACACGTCCGAAAGGATCCTGGCGTCCATGATGATGACGACGATGCTGATGATGTTGATTATGCGTATGATGATGATGCTGATGCTGATGCTGATGCTGATGCTGATAGTGATGATGAAGATGCTGGTGATGCTGATGATGATGATGATGATGATGATGATGATTATGATGATGCGGATGATACTGATAATGATAATGGTGATGATGATGATGATGATGCTGATGCTGATGCTGATGCTGATGATGATGGTGATGATGGTGGTGATGTTGGTGCTGATGATGATGATGATGATGATGATGGTGATGATGATGATGATGATGATGATGATGGTGATGGCGATGATTATGATAATGATGCTGATGATGATGGTGATCCTGATGATGATGATAATGATGATGATGCTGATGCTGATGCTGATGCTGATGGTGATCCTGATGATGATGATTATGATGATGATGATGATGATGATGATGATGATGATGATGATGATGATGATGATGATGATGATGATGATGATGATGATGATGGTGGCGTTGGTGGCCCGAAAACGGCAAAGACATCTGGGGACCCATGGCGAAGAGCGGCGACGGCGGAGAGCGGCGGAGAGGACCGCGCCGCCGCCGAGCGCAGCCGCGGAGCGCGCGCGGCTGGCGGTCCTCGGCCCGCGCGCGGGGCCGCCCCTCCGCGCTGCCGCCGGCGCGCAGGGGGGAAGCCCGCGCGCGCTGGGGCGGCGGGCGGGGCGGCTCGTCGGGCGGCGCCTCGGCGCGCTGCCACCTGCGGCGAGGGGGGGGGGGGAGAGGGAGGGGAGGAGGAGGAGGAGGAGGAGGAGGAGGAGGAGGAGGAGGAGGAGGAGGAAGAAGAGGGAGGAGGACGGAGGACGGAGGAGGAGAGGGAGGAGGGGGAGGAGGACCAGTGCAAGCCAAAGACGCACCAGCGAGATTACAATACACCGTCCCTCGAAGCCCCCCTTTTCATGAGCCCGAAAAGAAAACACTTTCGTGGCGGGAAATGGGCAATTAGAAGACAACCGCTTGGTCGTCCCCAAACATAATTTCTGCGTCGTCAGCGCCGCGGATCAACGTCACTATTGCGTCCTGCCAATCCTAAATCGTGCCAAAGCACCGTTCCTGGGACTTCAGCACCGCGAATCAAAATAACTAATACGTCCTGGCAATACTGAATCGTGCCAGGGCACCTTTCCTAGGATCTCAACAATACGAGCCCTTGAAACTGCTGCAATTAGGTTAAACGGGTGCGCCTGGCGCTGAAGCAAGAGACGCATGTTGAAAAGGAACTGCCCTCAGGGATGAGGAGGAGCTGGAGGGAGGAAGCAGGATGAAGGAGGAGGAGGAGGAAGAGGAGGAGGAGGAGAAGAAGGCGGAGGAGGCGGAGGAGATGGAGGAGGCAACGGAGATGGCAGCCAATAAGGGAAGGCTCCGCTGGGGCCGAAGCTCCGACAACCGTGGGAGACGCTCAGGGCTTCCCCATCAACAGGAGGGCGGCAGGACGGTGCATCTCGGCCACCGTCGGCGCACGGGCGAAAGCTGCCACGGACCTGCTGCCGCGCACGGCTGACCTTGGAGGGACAGAGGAGGCCAGCCTCCAGAGCACAAGGCAGCCAACGGGCCAAGAGCGAGCAACAACTGCGCTGCATCACAAGTCATAAGCAAAGGAATGACAGTGTACTCACGCGAGGGTCAGGAAACGCAGACGTCGTCCTACGACAATCGAGGCACGGATACTTTCCCATGCGCAGAAGGAAACAGACGTTGGGACTGCAAGCTGACTGGGGCAAACGAACATACCTGCGAATGCCTGCCTGTTGCGCCTCGCACCCTCGCGGCGCGAGAATGCGCACGGCATCGGTATAGACATGGACTGACGGGGGGCCCCACAGCCATGCCCCCCTTGTTGTCGTTCGCCCGCGGGAGACACTTTCATCGGTGTCGGTGCTCATGGCTGCGTAGATCGGTTCAGCAAAATAAGTAAAGAACAGGACGTACACTTTTTGATTCGCGGGTCGAGAGTGAGCCTCTTCCTGTCGAAGCTAAGCGGGCCGCGCACAGCTTTAATTGACAGAGGAAGGGAAAAAGAAGGCGGGGCCTCACATCAAGGCCAGGAGGGAAAGAACAGGACGTACACGCCGCCTCCAAGAGACGGCACCACTGAGCGCACGCACAACGCCCAGCTGACTGGCAAAGTCGACCAGGACGGCTGTCACAGTTGAAGAAATGATTCGTCCAAGGGAAGATGCTGCCTCAAGTGCCACTGAGCTTGCGAAAAGCTGCCGAGCGCATTTTCGCATAACAAACATGTACACGGAGGAAGAAGGCGATGCTCGAAAATCACGGCGGAATCTCTGGACCTCGGGCACTTTCTGTTCACTCCGTACCAAGTGTTCACTAACAATGCGTTTCGTAGAATACCAAGCTCCATACAATACGCAAGCGTTCGAAACCGCAACATCTCGAGCCAAGACTCGGTAACTGTGGTTCCAGCCCCATCCCCCAAGTCAGTCTTGCAAACGAAACAGGCAGGGGAGGGGGGGGGAGGCGCAGGGGAGGGAGGGCAGAAGACGAGGGAGGAGGACGAAGGAGTCCGTTGACCTAAGAACTCGCTGGCCAGGACACGAGGACCAGACAAGCGTGACGGGTATGTCACGGAACCTCGGGGCAGGTCTCGGCACCACCTCGTCGGAGCACACAGTACACCAACACGCGCGAAGCAGGTCGACGATATCACCTCGCAGCAGCTTCCACCACCCCCCTCGCAGGGCTTGCCCTGCAGAGCTCCCTGCCGACAAGCCTCGGCTCCTCCTCCCCGGAGGCGCCCCCCGAACGAACGTAGCCGCAGCTCTCCATGCGCCGACGCGTGGCATGGCAGCCCTGGAACTCCAGAGAGAACCTCATCGCGTTGTGCGAAATCGGAGAAAAAGGAGCTGCGTACAGTGTAGGAGGAGGAGGAGGAGGAGGAGGAGGAGGAGGAGGAGCAGAAGGATGAGCAGGCAGAAAAGGAGGAGGATGAGGAAGGAGGAGGGCGAGGACGAACAGCAACAGCAGCAGGAGCCAGAGCGGAAGGAGCGGGAGGAGCAGGAGGCCCAGGGGAAGGCAGAGGAGGGGAAATGAGGGATACGACAACGATGGAAAGGACGCGGATCCAGAAAATTGGCCCGCGCTGGGGCGAAGCGCCATTCTGACCGACGGAAGCAACGCGCCGATCCGAAGATGAGGCCCATGCTGAAGCGGGAGCATCATTTGAAACACCGAAAACAGTCGGAC